GGATCATCCAGGCAGAGCCCAGGTGAAGCTACGGTTCATGCCGGTGCTTCCCCGGTCGTTCCCGGATGACGCCGGAAGAGCCCCGGTTGACCCAGGCAGAGCCCCGGTCGATCCAGGCAGAGTCCCGGTAGAGCCCATGACGATCCAGGCAGAGCCCCGGTAGAACCCCGGTGGATTGAAAACGCCCGAAAATGATAACATTGATACATAATTTTTATTAGCTCGACTTTTTTTTTTTTGAAAAAAAAAAGTAGAGGTATTGTTATAGTCAGGTCGCCGTTGCCGTTGCCGTCTCCGTTGCCGTTGCCGTTGCCGTCCGAAAACTTGTACCTGGATCATAACTTTTTTATTTCTTGGTGTATTGTCTTCATAACTTGGCCACAACAACCCTTGGACAAGACCTTTCAGTAGTCCACACTAACCTTGACCTTCATCCATAAATGACCTTGACCTTCAAGGTTAAAAGTCCAATTTTTGCTTGTTCATGCTGTTATTGGCTGTTACTTTGTTATTTTTGAATGGATTGTCTTCAAACTTGAAACATAATAATCTTCAAGGATATCCCTTAAAAAATAACCAGTCAGACCTTGACATTCACTCATCAATGACCTTGACCATTTGAAGGTCAAATTAGTGAAATTTTTCATTTTTTTTGGCTATTAATTGGCTGTAACTTTGTTATTTTTGAATGATTGTCTTCAAAACTTGAACATAATAATCTTCAAAAAGATAACTGTTAAAAATATACCGAAAGACCTTGACCTTCACTCATTAATGGACATTGCCTTTGAAGGTCAAATTTATTGAAATTTTCATTTGTTTTGGCAGTAACTGACTGTAACTTTGCTATTTTGAAGGATAAACTTCATATATATAACAGAACATTCTTAAGGAACCAGACCTTGTTGTTTATCAAACCCAAATTTGCTTGGGCTCTTTAATGACCTTGACCTTGAAGGTTATATTACTGAATTTTCTCAGATTGTGCATTAATCGGTGTGTGTGTATGTATAGTATATGTATTATTATAAATATATATATAAATGTGTGTGTGTATATATATACATATATGCAGGTATATATATATATATAAATATATATACATATATGCATGTATAATATATTTATATTATATATATATATATATATATATATAGATATATATATATATATCAAATATATATATATATCTATATCAAATATATATATATATATTACATATATATATACATGTATATAATTGCGTCAATTTTTTTTCTATTTTTAGAAATTGCGTCATGTTTTTCTATTATAGAAATTGCGTCATTTTTTTCTATTTTTAGAAATTGCGTCATGTTTTTTTATTTTTAGAAAATTGCGTCATTTTTTTCTATTTTTTAGAAATTGTGGTCATGTTTTTCTATTTTTTGAGAAAATTGCGTCATTTTTTTTCTGTTTTTATGAAATTGTGTCATTTTTGTTCTATTTTTAGAAATTGCATCATGTTTTTCTATTTTTAGAAATTGCGTCATTTTTTCTATTTTTAGAAATTGCTTCATTTTTTTTCTTTTTTTAGAAATTGCGTCATGTTTTTCTATTTTTAGAAATTGCGTAAATTGCGTCATTGTTGCTATTTTTAGAAATTGTGTCATTTTTTTCTATTTTTAGAAATTGCGTCATTTTTTTCTATTTTTAGAAATTGCGTCATTTTTTCTATTTTTAGAAATTGCGTCATTTTTTTCTATTTTTAGAAATTGCGTCATTGTTTCTATTTTTAGTAATTGCGTCCTTTTTTTCTATTTTTAGAAATTGCGTCATTGTTGCTATTTTTAGTAATTGCGTCATTTTTTTCTATTTTTGGCCGGGTTGCACTGGTGCAAATCCGGGTTATAGTATGGTGAATGTCAGGCGCGGCGGGCGGGCAGGCAGGCAGGCGGGCGGGCCGGGGAAAATATTTTCGTAACAGTTTTTTCTCAGCAACTACTTATCACAGCCCTCTTGATATTTGGCAATACAGCATAGACACATGGTCCCATACCGGGGGGATATAATTTCAGGTCTGTTGCTCATCCACTTCCTGTTTATTCCACTTAGTTAAATTTACTAAGATTTTTTCGACATTAATGGTCAATGGTAGGAAATTTTCGTAACAGTTTTCTCAGCTACTACTTATCACAGCCTCTTGATATTTGGCAAACAGCATAGACACATGGTCCCATACCGTGGATATAATTTCAGGTCTGTCGCTCATTTTCCACTTCCTGTTTTTTCCACTTAGTTAAATTAGTAAGATTTTTCGACATTAATGGTCAATGGTAGGAAATTTTCGTAACAGTTTTCTCAGCAACTACTTATCACAGCCTTTGATATTTGGCATACAGCATAGACACATGGTCCCATAACGTGGGATATAATTTCAGGTCTGTCACTCATATCCACTTCCTGTTTTTCCACTTAGTTAAATTAGTAAGATTTTTCGACATTAATGCGTCAATGGTAGGAAATTTTTCGTAACAGTTTTCTCAGCAACTACTTATCACAGCCTCTTGATATTTGGCATATCAGCATAGACACATGGTCCCATACCGTGGGATTTGATTTCAGGTCTGTCGCTTATCTACTTCCTGTTTATCCACTTTTAAATTAGTGAAATTTTTCAACATTAATGGTCAATGGTAGGAAATTTTCGTAACAGTTTTCTCAGCAACTACTTATCACAGCCTCTTGATATTTGGCATGCAGCATTGACACATGGTCCCATACCGTGGGATTTGATTTCAGGTCTGTTGGTCATCCACTTCCTGTTTACATTAATGGTCAATGGTAGGAAATTTTCATAACATTTTTCTCAGAAACTACTAATCACAGCCTCTTGATATTTTGCATACAGCATTGACACATGGTCCCATACAGTGGGATTCGATTTGAGGTGTGTAGCTAATCCACTTCCTGTTTACCCACTGAATTAAATTTTTGACATTAATGGGTCAATGGTAAATTCTTTTCGTAACATCACAACCTCATATTTGGTGTACAAATGCAACCAGGCCTTTTCTGTCTTTGACCCATTTTTAGAAATTGCGTCATTTTTTTCTATTTTTAGAAATTGTGTCATTGTTGCTATTTTAGAAATTGCGTCATTTTTTCCTATTTTTAGAAATTGCGTCATTGTTGCTATTTTTAGTAATTGCGTCATTTTTTTCTATTTTTAGAAATTGCGTCATGTTTTTCTATTTTTAGAAATTGCGTCATTGTTGCTATTTTTAGAATTTGCGTCATTTTTTCCTATTTTTAGAAATTGCGTCATTTTTTCTATTTTTAGAAATTGTGTCATTGTTGCTCATTTTGAAATTGCGTCATTTTTTTCTATTTTTAGAAATTGCATCATTGTTGCTATTTTTAGTAATTTGCGTCATTTTTTTCTATTTTTAGAAATTGCGTCATTTTTTTTCTATTTTTAGAAATTGCGCCATTTTTTCTATTTTTAGAAATTGCGTCATTGTTGCTATTTTTAGAAATTGCGTCATTTTTGTTCTATTTTTAGAAATTGCGTCATTTTTTCTATTTTTAGAAATTGCGTCATTGTTGCTATTTTTAGTAATTGCGTCATTTTTTTCTATTTTTAGAAATTGCGTCATTGTTTCTATTTTTAGAAATTGCGTCATGTTTTTCTATTTTTTAGAAATTGCGTCATTGTTGCTATTTTTAGAATTTTGCGTCATTTTTTCCTATTTTTAGAAATTGCGTCATTTTTTCTATTTTTAGAAATTGTGTCATTGTTGCTATTTTTAGAAATTGCGTCATTTTTGTTTTATTTTTAGAAATTGCGTCATTTTTTTCTATTTTTTAGAAATTGCGTCATTGTTGCTATGTTTAGTAATTGCGTCATTTTTTTCTATTTTTAGAAATTGCGTCATTGTTGCTATTTTTAGTAATTGCGTCATTTTTTTTCTATTTTTAGAAATTGCGTCATTGTTTCTATTTTTAGAAATTGCGTCATTTTTTTTTTTCTATTTTTAGAAATTGCGTCATTGTTTCTATATTTTTAGAAATTGCGTCATTGTTGCTATTTTTTAGAAATTGCGTCATTGTTGCTATTTTTAGAAATTTGCGTACTGTTCCTATTTTTAGAAATATGCTTAATGTTTCTATTCATATATATACAAAATATATAAACAAAACTAATGTGACAAGACAGACCAACTAAATTTATAAAATGGAAACATCAATATATGTTCAAACCTTTCTATGTTTGCGTTTAGAAAAAGTAAAAAGTCGAGCGTTGCCCCCGCCCGGCGGTGGCTCTTGTTTAATATAATATCTATTGTTCCAGAATAGTAATTCATGATGATTTTCTGAAAAATCCTTATGCCATACTGGATAGAAGGGAAATGGGAAGGGTTTTAATACAAACAAGTGCAATCACAGCAAATTGTCGTTATTCTTTTGAAATGATCTGGGCTTTGCCGGGGCTCTACCGGGATCAACCGTAGCTCTACCTTTATCCTCCGGGGCTCTGCCTGTAGTTACCGGGGCTCTGCCTGCATATACTGGGGCTCTACCGTAGCTCTACCGGCTATATCATACCCCGGATCATCCCCGGTTTGTGCCGGCAGAGCTACGGTGCTTTCCCGGTATAACCCCGGTCGTTCCCAGCAGAGCTAAGGATGAAGCCGGCAAAGCTATACCTTCCCGGATCATCCCGGACCACCCCGGTGATATTAAATATTTTATTCCATCCGGGGTCGAATGCGGGATGTTCCCGGATCATCCCTGATCATCCAGGACGTTGCCGACAGAGTTACGGATGTACCCCGGTTGTTCCCGGTCGTACCCCGGTCGTTCCCGGATCACCCCGGACGTCTACCGGGGCTCTGCCGGGATGTAAGTGAGACTGTAGCTTTAGTACATTTTATCAACTCTGTACGAAAGGATGTTTTTGAAATATCTGGCATTAACAATTGTTTGAAGATTAAAAACTGAATGGTACTAGGAAACTGAATGTTCTTGTTATATTTCAGGTTGATAAATATATGAAGGAAATTCTGAATGATTTATTGTCAAACCTTACCAACAACCAGTGGAGAATCAGGGAGTCAAGGTCAGTATCTGTATGCAGTAATTTAACCCAACCAAATGTAATTATCCTATGCCACCTATATATAGCAGTCTGACCAGGCTCTATACTGTAGTCTGACCAGGCTCTATACTGTAGTCTGACCAGGCTCTATACTGTAGTCTGACCAGGCTCTATACTGTAGTCTGACCAGGCTCTATACTGTAGTCTGACCAGGCTCTATACTTTAGTCTGACCAGGCTCTATACTGTAGTCTGACCAGGCTCTATACTGTAGTCTGACCAGGCTCTATACTGTAGTCTGACCAGGCTCTATACTGCAGTCTGACCAGGCTCTATACTGTAGTCTGACCAGGCTCTATACTGCAGTCTGACCAGGCTCTATACTGTAGTCTGACCAGGCTCTATACTGTAGTCTGACCAGGCTCTATACTGTAGTCTGACCAGGCTCTATACTGTTTTCTAGCTATCTTTAATTTTTTTAATTGATATCCCCCAAAACTTATAATATAAAGTTCCCAATATGAAAGTTGAGAAAGTCCATTTAATAAATACAATAGGATCAAGGCTTTGTTTTATAATAATAAATAATGAAAATAATAGTTTTAGTTATACGTTACCCGAACGCAAGTCGTTAGATAACTGTGTTAATTCGTCGGGAAATAAACTTCTCGATTTATGTTTGAGTACTGATCTCAAAATAGTGAATGGGAGATTAGGTTATGACGCAAATATTTGGAAATTTTACATTTTTGTCTAATTTGGGCAAAAGCTTAATCGATTATGCTATTTTATCGCAAGAGTTGTTTCCCTTTGTTAGTAATTTCATTGTACATGATATGTATACATTTTCGCACCATAAACCAATACAATTAGACTTTAGTTTTAAATGTAACTATAATTATAATGTTAATGACGATATAAATATTGATGTAATAAAATGGGACAGTGATGATGAAGGAAAGATAAATGTTTATAAAGAATCCATTGAAAATGAAATTATGAATATTGATTTAATTGTGAATGATATTATAGCCAATAACATTGAACTAGATAATGGAATTGAGAAAATGACTGAATTATTGTACTGCAAAACATTTAACGTTTTTTGCGAGACAAAATGTATAAGAAATAATAGACGTAAAACTAAAAGGGAAATATGAAAGTGTGTGGTATAATCAGGAGTGCGAGGCTGCTAGAAGAGACTTTAAACATGCAAATAAAAATTACATTAAGCATAAAACTAACCAAAATATTGAAATACTTATTACTAAAAGGCGCATATATCGAATAGCAAAAAGAAGAGCACGCACTAAATATAATCTAAACCAAAAAAAGAAAATGGCTTCCTTAGCTTCAAAACAACCTCAGAAATTTTGGAAAGAAATCAAAAGGCTCCGAAAAAAATGTAGTAAGAATGAAATATCATCCGATGAAATTTTATGAACACTTCAAAAATTTATATTCTTATGAAGATCTTTTCAAAAACGACTTTGTTGAGGAAAGAATAAATAATATTGATATGGATTCTACCAATATTGAAGAGCTTGATGTTAAATTTACAAATGAGGACGTTGTTAGGGCAATTTCTTCTTTAAAAAGCGGTAAGAGTGCGGGGGGTTGATTTACTTATACCCGAAATTTTTATACACTGTAAAAATATTTTAGCTCCTGTACTTTGTAAATTATTTTATCACATTTTTGATACAGGTGAATACCCGGAATCTTGGTGCAAGGGAATCATAGTACCTGTGCCCAAAAAAGGGGATAATAATGATGTGAACAATTATAGAGGCATCACTCTGACCAGTGTATTTTCAAAACTATTTTCAATTATTCTAGATTTTCGTTTTACGTAAATGGGCTGAAAGGAATCACGTGTTAAACGATTTTCAATTTGGTTTTAGAAACAATAAAAGCACTACTGACTGTATATTTGTATTGAGTTCTATTATAGATAGGATAACAAAACATGAAAAGAAAAAAATGTATGCTGCATTTATAGACTTTAAAAAATGTTTTGATCTCTTGTATAGAAATGGGATTGGGTATAAAATTGATTGAAATTGGAGTATCTTTGAAAATTGTAAAAATGTTACGTAGTATGTATGCCTGTGTAAAGTCATGTGTAAGAGCAAATGGAAGATTGTCTGATTATTTCGACAGTTATATGGGTTTAAAACAAGGGGAGCCACTCTCACCTCTCTTATTCATATTTTTTCGTGAATGATATGCACAGCGACTTGCTTAATGATACTGTTGGCTCTTTCACAATAGACGACATACAAATATTTCTTTTATTATTTGCTGATGACACAGTTTTATTTTCTTATTCTAAAGAAGGACTACAACATCTTCTTAACAAATTGTATAATTATTGTAACAATTGGGGAATTGTTGTTAATGTAAATAAAACTGTTGCTATGACCTTCAAACCGGTAATCGAAATGATGATTTAGAGGTCTATTATAATAATGAACGTCTTAAAGTTGTTAAATCATTTACATATCTTGGTGTTACCTTGTCATCTAATGGGAATTTTTATCAAGCTCAAAAGTCTTTATCCAACCAAGCATTAAAAAGCATTGTTTTTTGTTGAATTCTTTATTTGATTATATTTCCTTGAATGTATCTGAAAAGGTTAGACTTTTTGATACTATGATTTTACCGATTTTGACATATGGATCAGAGGTGTGGGGCTTTCATAACTCGCCGGATATTGCTAAAGTTCATTTAAAATTCTTGAAACAAGTTTTAGGCGTTCATCCGCAAACATCAACTTCGGCAGTACTTGGTGAATTTGGCAGATTTCCTTTGACAGTATATCGAAAAATTCGAATAGTTAAATTTTGGTATAGAATTATGAAAGCCTGATACTCTACTTTTTTAAAATAATGTTTATAAAAGATTCAAATGGTAATGTGACTAATTCATGGACAAAAAACGTCATGAAAAATGTTGTCTGATTTAGGTTTTGGAAATTTATGGAACAATGTTAATGTTACAAGCATCCAATTAAATAATATTATACAAAGAATTTATGATCAGCAATTACAACAATGGTGTTCTGAGCTTAGTAGTTTTCCTAAATTATGTAGTTACAATTTATTTAAATTTAACTTTATTCAAGAAAAGTACTTAGATGTTGTAAATAACATTAATCATCGTAAAGCATTATCAAGGTTTAGATGTTCATCCCATAAATTGTTAATAGAAGAAGGAAGATATAGAAATATTGATAGGAATTTACGTATATGTACTAAATGTAACATGAATCAAATAGAAAACGAATGTCATTTCTTATTACATGTAATTTGTCCATTCTATAGTGAATTGAGAGGTCAATGTTTTCCTCGGTATTATTGTCATTGGCCAACCATTAATAAATTTATATCAATTATGCAATCTTTGCAAAAGAAAATAATTGTTAATTTAGCTAAGTTTATCTATTGTGCTATGTGTAAGAGAAGCTCAAACAGTTGATTTTATGAATGTAGGTATTTGTTTCCATATTAATATATTCTTTATTTTCTTCTGTGACTCATACTGACATATTGATATTTTGTAGTAGTTATGTTAACTGTTTACCATAATTTTCTTATGTTATGTAAATATGTTATAAACGCCACGGTTATTTGGCGATGAACATGTATTTGTTTTTGCCAATAAAATATTTGACTTGACTTGACTTGAATAATATTGAGAAGCTTACAAATCCAGTGGAGCAGAACCAGCTTGTATTTCTTTAATTGAACAATTTTATATTTTGACTTGGAATGAAATTGAGTGTTAAAAGGTTCTAATTTAAAAGTATCAATAAATACAACTACACAAATCATGGGTAATTGTTCTTTCTATTAAAAGGGCTTTTTTTTCACAGGTTTGGGAAGCAACCCTGCCCTTAATTTAAAGGGAAAAAAAACTTTATGTAAATTTAGTTTTGGGAAAAAGGCATGATTTTAAAGAAATTTTCTTCCACAGTATGCAAATTTAGTTTTAGGAAAAATGCATGATTTTAAAAAAAATTTCTTTGTGGAAGTCGCCTGCTGAAACGGTCCCTTCTAAAGAAGGAAAAAAGCTCTGTATTGTAATTCATTTTTAAGGCATTGTATGCTGTAACTAATTCTATATGACCAGAAAGTTTTTCAAATGTCATATTATTCCACCTATCTTTTGTTTGTCTCATATTAATATAAATTTCTTTCAGCTGCTTAGCTGTAAATGACCTTTTACGTGGCCGACCTTTGGATGACGTTGTTGAAAGTTTGCCAGAGTTATGGGAATCTTGTTTACGTGTTTTGGATGATATTAAGGAAAGTGTTCGAAAAAGTGCTGATCTAGCTTGTAAAACTCTGAGCAGGGTAATTTAAAGGGGTTGGGTGATTGATTTGTTCATTTAAAATTAAATTTGGGGATAGGAAAAACCATGTTTTAAAGGGTTTCATTTAAACCCTTTTGGAATTACGTTTAAAAAAATATTTTTAAAAAACTTAATTCAGATTGTTAGGTTTCTAGATTTATATGGTAAAGCCTGGTTTCTAAAAAGGGAATTTGGACAAACATTTACCACAGTTTTCATCATTAAAATCCTCTTAACAAAATGGTTGTAGGAATGATAGTTTTAAACTTAGTTGTTCTGAAAAACCTTTGCTGCCTTCAGAATTTGCACTCACTGAGCTTATCTACAGAGTTTAAACTAAAGATATAATTCTCTTCCTGTTCTGTAACTTAGACTGTATCTTTTATTTTCTGTAATGCTATATATGTAAAAACTTGACAACACTAAACATCTTGTGTAGATTCATCCATCTTTCAATCTGGACAATACCATTCATTATTTTAAGGGAAAATTTCCCAATATTTACTAACTAAATATCCAACAGTGCAGACAATGATTTGAACAAACACCAAAGATCTGGCTGATCTTGGTCTGCACTGGTTGCATGGGTAAATTCAGTTGCTACCAGTGGGTTAAGAATTAACTGATTATATCATTTGATAAATTACCCTAAAATGACAAGTAGTAAATCAATGTCACTCATTTGATGGCTTATACTTATTGTTCAAAATTGTAAATTGTAATATAAAATGTTTCAGGCCTCAATTAAGATATGTGATGTTGGTTATGGTAAGGTTGGAGAGAGGGCTACAACAGTGGTACTACCATGTTTGCTTAAATTTGGACTACAAAGTCCTGTGTCAGAGGTTAGAGCCATTGGGTAAGCTTTGATTATTTTTTGCGCATATTTTGCTCTTGTTTTATATATATCCTTATAAATTTTAAATAAAGAACAGTCCAAAATTGTTATGCTTTCTCCATATATATTGATCATAAGTGGATACAAGTTGAAAAAAATACAAACTTTATTCTTATGTAATAGCTTATTGATTCACTTTCTTGTGAAGTTATATAAAAAAAAGAAAATGAAGTAAATTCTTATGTAATAACTTTAACATGACTCATCTTCTTGCAAAATTATTCTGTTGCCATCAGAACAATTTCTACATGTACAAGGGCTGTTCAAAAAGTTTGTGGACCGCAGCTCTATTGTTCACATTTTTTCATTTGCGTACATGATTTTACAAGAGACAAATATTGAAACATGCCCTTTATATATAGAGAAAAAATCAATACAATATGTTTACAAATAATAATTCTGTGAAAATTACAAATAACAAGGGTTATGCGATCGGGCACACGCTAATGGTAAAACAAAGTGACGTTTGTGACGTCAAAATTTAAATTAAAATATCACAAGCGTCATTGCTTCTGAAAGTACACTTTCAGTGTTCAATGTTGCTGGATCATATAACTATAATCATTTTTCTGTATGTTATGAGAAATGAGAAAGAAAACTGTCACCTGTAAAGTCCATTTTTCGTATAAGGGCCTGGAGAGTCGACCAGTTTGCGCTCTTTATTGCAAGTTTTAGTAATCTCGACACTTAACGGACAGTGTTATCAAGTTGATTCATTTATCAGTTGGTGATTTATTATATTTATTTAAAACCACAATCTTCATCCTTAGACAGTATGTTTCTTAACAGAAAAGAAAAATATTTTATCAACATGCAAATATTATCTGCGGTAAATAGCATTTATTATCAAACAAATCAGGGAAAATATGTGTTATACAAAAAGTAAATTAATTTATTATCCCCCGCCGAAAAATTTCGGCGGAGGATTTAGAAATAGTCTCCTTCCGTCCGTCATTTTTGTCCGGAGCATATCTCTAAAAGTATTTGAGTTATCAACTTGAAACTTCATAGGTGGATAGACCTCATTGAGGAGTAGTGCAGTGCACAAGAATGATAACTCTACCTTGCATGATTTTTGAGTTATTGCCCTTTGTTATTTTTCAAAATTGATTTTTGTCCACAGCATAACTCCAAAAGCCTATGAGATATTAACATGAAACTTCATAGGTGCATAGATCTCACTCAGGAGGTGTGCAGTGCACAAGAATGATAACTCTACCTTTCATAATTTTTGAGTTATTGCCCTTTGTTATTTTTCATACCTAATTTTTCACCTGAGTGGAGCATAACTCAAAAAGTGTTTGAGATATCAACATGAAATGTCATAAGTGGATAGATCTTATTGAGGAGGAATGTTGTGTGCAAGAATGATAACTCTTTCCTATACAATTTTTGAGTTATTGCCCTTTGTTTTTTCATGCTATTTTGTCCAGAGCTTTTCTCAAAAAGTATTTGAGTTATCAACTTGAAACTTCAAAGGTGGATGAATCTCATTGAGGAAGAATGCAGTGCTTAAGAATGATAACTCTACCCTGCATTATTTTTGAGTTATTGCCCTTTGTTATTTTTCAAAATTAATTTTTGTCCAGAGCATAACTCAAAAAGCCTTTGAGATATCAAAATGAAACTTCATAGGTGCATAGATCTCAATCAGGAGGTATGCACTGCACAAGAATGATAACTCTACCTTTTATAATTTTTGAGTTATTGCCCTTTGTTATTTTTCATACATAATTTTTCAATTCAATTTTTTTCTCAAAAAGTATTTGAGGTATCAACTTGAAACTTCATAGGTGGATAGAGTTTACTGAGGAGGAGTGCAGCACACAAGAATGATTACCTACCCTGCATTATTTTTCAGTTATTGCCCTTTGTTATTTTCAGCCATCAGTATTCACATAGGTTTCTAATTTGTAATCACTATAGCCATCAGTTTTCATTACCGAAAGACCTCTTAAAATGGAATTATTCTGCTCTACTACATATACATTCTTCCAATGAGCAAACACATTCGGCGTGGGATGGCCATGTTGACATGGCTCTTGTTTTACAATTTACGCTACAGACTACTGCCGTTCAAAAGTTTTTTGTTTAGTTAATCAACATCGAATTTCAGAATTATGTCAATTAAATATTAACAGATGTTTACCCCAATTTAACCTGGTTACATAGTCGTTTGATTTATTTCAATATTTGTGTATATTTAAATATAGTACTAGGGAAATTTCTATGTGTGCCGATGTTGCCTTGCTTTGGTTATTAAAGTGCAAATAATTCGTAAAGGTAGTAAAGGTTTTAGATTAAAGTAAAACTCACTTTTAGAAATAAAGATAATTTCGATTCATATCAACTCTGGTCATTTTTATGAACCAAGTAAAAAATAACAGCAAAAGTCCACAAACTTTTTGAAAATACCTCGTATCATCCTTAAAAAAAGATATGAATTACTAATTTTTTTTTCATATTCCATATCAAAGGTGAGTTGAGTCTCACAATGGTAATGATTATATGATTCACAACTTATTTGTTGTATAATGTGAATAATTAACATCCTTACAAATAATGACGTAAAAGTTGTACATGTATGTGTTAATTAGTCACACATAGTTACGTGACATTTCAGCAGTACTTTGCCAGCACTCTTATATTTCACACTTTTAAGCTAAGAATATGGAAAATTTTATCTTAGTACAATTATACAAGTAAAGAGTCAACAAAATCTTGCTTTACTTGACATCCCTTAATTCCTCTTCATAGCTTATCTCACTGTAATGGCAATGTTTCCACGTGGCAGGTTTTAAGATTTGTCCAAACTTGATCTATTTTAGTGACAAACACAGCTATATAACAAAGTTTTCAGCCAAAATATACTGACCAAGATTTTATTTATTTCTTTTAAATATTTCTGCAAAATAAGGACCTAATAGTCTGTTTAAATTTATTGTGTCTGAAATAGTGCCTAAAGTACAAGTATGAATATTTAACTTTAGCTATATAATTTATTACTTAATAATCTAAACATAATAAAACTGAAGGTGAAGCGTCATTTATAGTGACGGTCATTTTGAAAAATTAAGCAGCAATATATAGAGACAAGAAAAATGCATTTCATATTCTTAACTTTGATTAAGATTGTGATTTAAATGTAATTGTGTTATTCATATGTGTTTAGAAACAAGTACCAACTTTCCTGTGAAATTATATTGTTGTGCACAGATCATAAAATATCCTACATTGAAATCTTCACAAAACTAGATTTTTTTTCATTTTCTATGTCAAATGTGAGTTGAGTTTGACTATGGTTTTCATTATAACTTTCACAATCAGGTAATATATCTTATTCTTATGTTCATGTTATGTTTTATATACAACTGTATATATATATATATCTAGGCTGTCAACTATTCTGAAGATCAGTAAGAATGCTGGCGTGCTGTTGAAGCCACATATACCCATCCTTGTCACTGCCCTGCTGGAGGCCATTAGTGGGCTCGAACCTCAGGTCATGAATTACCTGAGTTTGCAAGTTACCAGTAACCAGGAGATACAAAACAAGGTGAGGATATAGCCATTGCCATGACTAACTTACACCTGTTCTTTAGTGAATAAAATAGACCATCTCATTTTATATAATGCAACAGTTTTTTAAAAGTTTCTTATTTCATATTGTTGCCAACTGATGAATCAGATTGTATGATCATTCTAGGTAGGCTTACACGTCCAGTAGTGAAGAGATATCTGACCATCCTTACAGTCTGACCAGTCTCTATATTCACAGATACTTAACTCTCTGAAATAAAGATGAAAATTTGTAAATTATCTACTCACGAATACAAGTTTGTCATACAAATTTAGGAAATTCAAAAGTTATGATATATGTTTTTTGCATTTTTAGTTAGACAGTGCCAGGATTGCAGCCTCAAAGATGTCTCCAATGATGGAAACTGTAAATCTGGTATGTGAAACATGTTTGAGCCATGTCATGACAAAACCAACAAAGTGCGTTTGCGACCAGCATGGATTCAGACCAGCCTGCGCATCCGCGCAGTCTGATCAGGATCCATGCTGTTTGCTTACCAACTCTATTACAGGTAGAGAAACTGATAGCGAACAGCATGGATCCTGATCAGACTGCGCGGATGTGCAGGCTTGTCTGGATTCATGCTGGTTGGTAAAGCACTATGTTGGTTTTGTCGTGACACCGCTCATATATAGTATGAAGTTTTCTTTTGCATTTATAAAATGTAATTCTTTGTTGTTAAACTTTAGTCTGTTATCGGCTACAGAATCTACCCATGCAACCAATGCAGACCAAGATCAGCCTACAAATATTGCCATCTGATCCCTGTCTTCACTGATTGTTATTCTATCAGTACAAATTTTGAAATATTCCTTGAAAATGATAAATATCTTTACCCACATTGAAAATTGGGCATATGCTAAAAAGAGAAATTTCAGTTGAGCGGCTTTGTCTAAACATTTGATTTGAAGACATTGGAAAATAATTTTACATTGTTTTCCACTATTTCTTGAAAAATTTAATATTTAGAAAAACAAAAACAACAGGTTATTGAGGTTTGAATGATCAATGGTAAATGATATGTTATAATAAGTGTCAGATGTTAACTGTTCACTAAGCAAGCCATCTGGCAATAAAGTATATACTATATTTTATTTACAGTGTGTACAGTATATAGATGACACAGTTCTACCAGAATTGATTCCAAGGTTCACTGAGTTGGTCAAGAGTGGATTAGGGGTGGGAACTAAGGTAAGATGGTCAATTCAATGCCAACACTATACATAGTACATTTACAAATAAATCTTACTCTATTTCAAGTAAAACACATCAGCTATCTTCCCTTTGCTATAGTAGATATATCTGAAAAGAAAATGTGTAGAATTAAGTTACATACATTGTATATAACGTCTGTATATTACAAAGGCTGCTATATTTGAATTACTGTTAAAATAGAAAAACTCCATTGCAATGTAATAGCTTGCAAATGATTAAGTTTTTCAGTTGACATTTGATACAGATGTTAACTATGAATTTGCAAGCTTTGTAGCATTTTTCACGAGATTTTGCTTCTCTAACAGAAATCTATGTTTTATATACAGGCAGCATGTGCAAACTTTGTTGTCTCCCTTGTACGACAATGCTCACAAGATCTCGGCCCACATGCAGGTAAACTTTATTGCACTATGTTAATTGCACAAATGTTATTTGTTTCTCTTTTATGCCCCAGAAGGGAGGCATAATATAATCGCACAGTCTGTCTGTCCGTCCGTCTGTCCCACTTCATTCTTGTCGGGACTGTAACTTTGTCATACATGGAGGGATTTTGAAATAACTTTGCACAAATGTCTACCACATCAAGATGTGTCACGTCCAAGAACTACGTCCCTACCTCAAAGGTCAAGGTCACACTATCATTTTGAAGTTTCACATTATCGCATTTAAAGTAGATAAGTACACACATTTGTGTCCAGACTGTAACTTTGTCATGCATGAAATGATTTTAAAATAACTAGGCATAAATGTCTACCACATCAAGACAATGTGATGGGCCCAAGAATTACATCTCTACCTCAAAGGTCAAGGTCACACTAACATTTTGAAGTTTTACATTATCACAATTAGAATTAATAGCTACACTCAATCCTGTCCGGACTTTGTCATGCATGGAAGGATTTTAAAATAACTTGGCACAAATGTCAACCACATCAAAACAATGTGTCGGGGCTAAGGCTTATGTCCATCTGTTTGTGTGTCCCCACTTACACAACAATCATGTCTAGACTGTAACTTTGTCATGCATTGAGGGATTTTGAAATAATTTGCCACAAATGTCTATCTCATAACAACATTTTGTCGCATCCAGGAACCACGTCCCTTCTTCAAAGGTCAAGGTCACACTTATAATTTTAAGGTTCATGCTATCACAATTAGAGATCACAGGTACAATAATACAAAGAGCAATATTCAGCAATTAGTTACTTTCATTCTCTTCTTTTCATAATACCTGCATGCTTAAGAAACCTTTTCGGGGGCATTCGTCACTAGGGTGACAGCTTTTGGGATTTTTTTTAATTTTTTTCACATAGAATATATCCAACATGTTTACCCAGGGTTTTAGCTGTGCAAAAATGTCTTGGTTTGTGGGTTTATTTTAGATATCAAATCAAAAATGTTATTGAAAAACATATCAAATTTTACATTAATTTGTTGCAATTTCATTTCTATTATTAGACAATAAGTATAATATTTTGTCCAACTTATGTCAGTGAGTTTGGTAAAGCCTCCAGAAAGTGTGCATGCTTCTGTCCATACTGTTCCTTCTTTCTATGTACAATATTAATGAAACAATATATTGTTTTTCTATGATTTTTTTTTATCTATCAGGTAAACTGATGTCAGCTTTTCTACATGGTGTTGCTGACAGAAATATGTCAGTTAGAAAATCATACGCGATGGCACTTGGGCACCTTGTCAGGGTATGTTGTTTCTATATATAAAAATGTATACATGTAATATCTTTATATTCAAATAATATATATTATTAGAAATTTATATTGAAATATATAAGTAATTATGTTGTTTAATGTAGGTTATGTATTAAAGATAAAGAAATGAAATAAAGAAATTTCTTTGAAATTGAAAGATTTGTAGTTTACACCCACAAAAATGACATTGAAATTAAATTCTTAAATTTAAGTTATAACATCACCCATCACAATCTTTTTTAAACCACTTGCCCCTTACCACTGTCAGCTCGAATCCTGCCAGTGGCTTTGCTCTCATGTGAGGAAGCTTTTTAGCTAGCTAACTTAATGTCTATGATTCTACTCAAGTGCTCATTTGTGTCTGAGAAACCTCAGGAGTTCCTCTCCCAGTAAAGCTGGAAAAGTTGCCATTCATGTATGAGCTTTACAGTAAAACTGATGAAGGTTCAATATGAAGTGTTAAATTCAAACCAGTGGATAATAAATTTTCATAAAAGCAAAATTGGTTGTGATACGTGTTTTTTTATCCTTAGTTTTTGATTAATATGATAAATTTTTTTAGGTAAAGTGAAGTTATTTTATTATACATATATATCAGATTGGTAAAGACACAAGTGTAGAAAAGTTGATAACAAGAATGAGAAGCTGGTATCTAGAGAAGGAAGGTATGTCTACTTTTAATATTATTCTCACTTATCTACAAGAATTAGTAAGAAAAATATCTGATTTTAAAATTTACAAGAAATTGTAAGAAAAATAACTGATTTTAAATTTACAAGAATTGTATGAAAAATAACTGATTTTATATTTACAAGAATTAGTTATTTTATTTATGAAATTCAAAAATATTACTGAAAAGAGGTTATAAAAATTTCAGTTTCAATCGATTTATTATATTTTAAACTTTCTTCCAATTTAATAACTACTAAATAATTGATATTTAAAATTTGATGTTACTATGTTATGAAAAGCTTCTAAAACTACATGCTTTATAGAACTTGTGCATGCTTGATTAATATTTTATTGTTGAATGTTTTGTTGTAAACATGTAAATAACTTTCTACATTTTTAAGAGGAGGCAGCTCACAATGGTTGTGGTCTAACGTTACATGCTATAAGTCAGCAGAGTCCTGATATCTTGAGACGTCATGCATCAGTGGCAATGCCTCTAGCTTTTCTAGCCATGCATGAAAATACAGCAGGTAAGTGTATACTTATATTCTTTAAAGTAATTAACCTCTATCTGAAACTTATTTTCACAGAGTGACTGTCATCAAGAACCTTAATTAATATCAATGGAAATTTATGATTTGACTATTTTTAGCACAACTAGTCAAATGATAGAGAGAGCTATTGTATTCACCCAGTGGTTGGCGTCACAGTTTGGTGAAGTTTCTTCATGCAAATTGTTATCTTCAAAACTACTTGAAGGAATGGGTTGAATCTTCAGACACTTATTCAAGAGCACTGTCCAGGGCCCATAACTCATACATGGTTTTTGACAGAATTATGACACTTTTTGAATTTAGTAAATTTTACATTATCCAGGCTTTTGTTTTACTATTGAGCACTTTGAGGATGCTCTAGCACACTGTCAAACAGATTTTCTTTGAAACAGTTTTGGTCCTTTGCTTGTTTGTGTTTGTGTGATATATTCAATGCTAGAAAATATAGTTTTGTGAGAATTTCATTTCACTTGAATTGTTATTTTAATGTTGTTTCTTTTGTTTATCAGTTCCTTTGTTTGTTTCTTACTGAAGTTTACAGATTTTTTTTTCTTATTTCAGAGGGTACACCTAAGGACAGTGATAGTCTGTCAATATGGGAAGAAGTATGGATGGAAATAACACCAGGTATCAATATGAATGTTTAGTTAATTTTTATGATAGTATCCTAGTTATAGTTAGCAAAATATACATGTATATTTTGTTAAGGGTATATATAATCCCACCAGGCGAAGTTTAGAAAGTACAAGGACTAAATTTTACATAGAAAAAGAATTCTATATACAACATTGAAGCAAGACATCAAAACATGCATCATTATGCCCAGGAAATACATATTCAGGACCCCTCTAATTATAACCCCACCAAACAGTTTGAGGGAGGGCTATATAGGAATCACTTTCCTGTCCCATTCGGTCTACAGGGACCCAAAGAGATATTAACTTAACTTGAAACTTGGTACATTATAGCAATATCACAATGCAGCTGCCTTATGTCAAGTTTCACAGCTCTGATAGTTAACTTTTAATAGAATTATGCCCTTTTTATATCCCCTGGGGTCCGTCTGTCCCTCCGTCCGTTAACAATTTGGTTTCCGGAGCATAACTAAATTCCATTTGCCCCACAGTATTCAAACTTCATAGGATGATTGTCCATATTGGGTAGAAGACTCCTATTGATTTTGGGGTCACAAGGTCAAAGGTCAAGGTCACTATGACCTTAAAACTGAAAACAGTTTCCGGAGCATAACTTAAGTTCCATTTGCCCCACAATGTTCAAACGTCATAGGATGATTGTCCATATTGGGTAGAAGACCCCTATTGATTTTGGGGTCACAAGGTCAAAGGTCAAGGTCACTATGACCTTTAAACTGAAAACAGTTTCCGGAGCATAACTTGAGTTCCATTTGGCCCACAATGTTCAAACTTCATAGGATGATTGTCCATATTGGGTAGAAGACCCCTATTGATTTTGGGGTCACAAGGTCAAAGGTCAAGATCACTATGACCTTTAAACTAAAAACAGTTCCCGGGGGATAACTTAAGTTCCATTTGGCCCACAGTATTCAAACTTCATAGGGTGATTGTCCATATTGGGTAGAAGACCCTTACTGATTTTGGGGTCACAAGGTCAAAGGTCAAGGTCACTATTACCCCTATTGATTTTGGGGTCACAAGGTCAAAGGTCACCATTACCTTAAAACGAACAGTTTCAGGAGCATAACTTAAGTTCCATTTGGCCCACAGTGTTCAAACTTCATAGAATGATTGTCCATATTGGGTTGAAGACCCCTATTGATTTTGGGGTTATAAGGTCAAAGGTGAAGGTCACTATTACTTAGTAATTGAAAACAGTTTCTTTAGCATAACTTTAGTTCAATTTGGCCCACAATATTCAAACGTCATAGGATGATTGTCCATATTGGGTAGAAGACCCCTATTGATTTCGGGGTCACAAGGTCAAAGGTCAAGATCACTATGACCTTTAAACTAAAAACAGTTTCCGGGGGATAACTTAATTTCCATTTGGCCCACAGTGTTCAAACTTCATAGGATGATTGTCCATATTGGGTAGAAGACCCTTACTGATTTTGGGGTCACAAGATCAAAGGTCAAGGTCACTATTACACCTATTGATTTTGGGGTCACAAGGTCAAAGGTCACTATTACCTTAAAACAAACAGTTTCCGGAGCATAACTTAAGTTCCATTTGGCCCACAGTGTTCAAACTTCATAGGATGATTGTCCATATTGGGTTGAAGACCCCTATTGATTTTAGGGTCATAAGGTCAAAGGTGAAGGTCACTATTACTTAGAAATTGAAAACAGTTTCTTTAGCATAACTTTAGTTCAATTTGGCCCACAATATTCAAACTTCATAGGATGATTGTCCATATAAGGTAGAAGACTCCTATTGATTTTGGGGTCACAAGGTCAAAGGTCAAGGTCACTATGACCTTAAAACTGAAAACAGTTGTTGAAACATAACTTAAGTTTCATTTGGCCCACTGTGTTTAAACTTCATTTATATGATTGTCCATATTGGGTAGAAGACCCCTATTAATTTTGGGGTCACAAGGTCAAAGGTCAAGGTCACTATTACCTTAGAACTGAAAACAGTTTCCGGGGCATAACTTAAGTTCCATTTGGACCACAATATTGAAACTTCAAAGGAGGATTGTTTTGTGAAGGAGGTAATACTTTATTTAATTCCCATGTCTTACAAATGCTTCATCTTTACTATAAAAAAAAATCACTTTCGGGCATATAATGCTCCGCCTAGCGGTGCTCTTGTTTAACTTATATATATATAAAATATCCCATAAATGTACTAAAGTGGCTATAACTTTATTGTTAATCAATGAATTGTCGTCAGACTTGGACACAACAAACCTTTAGAATGTTCCTTCCAGCTGCCCAGACTGACCTTGACCTTGAGTCATTAAGGACTATAATTAACAGTGTATAGTTATTTCATGGGTGTTTGTGGAACAGTCAAAACTGTTGCCTCGAGGTATCAGAGATGACATTTGGAACTGTTCCCAGACGCCAAAGGCCGAGGGCAACAATTACAGATGTCATCCTTGATATTGATTAATGATTTATTAGTGATTGCTAGTCGGGTTGAGCAGAAGTCTCTTAACACAATAAAGATAGAGAGAAAATGATCAGGGGAAATTTATAGTTGTTGCTGAAGACAAAAGTGGCATTTTGCATGTGGTTTCTAGGGCATGTTAGACTCTACTTCTCTTATACTATTAATGCAATTTATGTGAAATGTTTCAGGATTGATTGTTACCTCAAGTACTTGTTCATATTTTCAGGGTTTTTTGTTTGAAGTTATTTTAGGCTGAGTTATTGCCCTTAAATGAAAAAGTTGTTTTTGCCTATTAGTGAATTTTGGAAAATACTTACTTACCCCACATTACAGATAACACTCTAACATCATAACATTCAATTTACATTTCCAACAAACTGTTCAATCACCCTTAATACAAATGCTTAATTGGCTATCATCAGGTGACACATGTGATCACTGATCAATCTTGTTACTTTTATGAAATGAATATAATGATTTGTTAATAGGTACCGAGGCAGGTATTAGATTGTATTTGTCTGAGATAGTTGAGCTGTTGCGGGAGACTTTGCAGTCTCAATCTTGGTCCACCAAGGCTCAGGCTGCACGGGCAATGGCTACAGTGGCAGACAAATTAGGCTCAAACTTAGGACCTCCACATCTGGCTAATTTGCTGTCAGCACTATTGATTGGACTGCAAGGCAGAACTTGGGCTGGAAAGGTAATTCATTGTTAATATCTTACCTTTTTTCTTGGGACAATTAAGTTAATACACTGCAGCCGCGATATAGCGCTATCCGATATAGCGCTAATCTCAGTAGAACGCTCATATGCCTTGGCTCCCAAAAAAAAAAATCGTATTTTTCGTCAATTATAAAAAAAATTTCATGTATATCAATACCGCGCCTTATCCACTATAACGCTTGTTCAATGTGTCAGTCTAGTGCAATAAACAATAATAATTACGTCACTCATGATCAGAAGGTGTGAAATCATACACAGGTAAGCGTTAATCCGCTCTTTTGTTCATGTTGAACTGTTGATCAGTCAGGTATCAAACTGTTAGCTGTGACATGCAAACACCGACGAGTTGAGTAAATCACACAAGCGTACAATGAATTTTAAAAAGCAGGTAGGTCAGATAAGGAAAAGAGCCAGACATGCCAAGGACCATAACCTTGAGACAGCCGTTCTAACATGGTTTAATCAAGCGAGGTCCGAAGGCATGCCTGTCTCTGGTCCTGTTATCCGGGCCCAGGCAAAGAAGATGAACCAGGAGTTGAATGGCGATGATAGCCAGTTTGAAGCATCTAATGGATGGCTCTCACGGTTTAAGCACCGTCATTCAATCTCCCAGGTTACGATAAGAGGAGAACAACGGTCCGCAGATGAAAGTGCAGCAGCAGCTTACCCGGAGGAGCTAAGGAAATTGGTGATGGACCAACAACTATTTGCTGACCAGATATACAACTGTGAAGAGACCGCGCTGTATTTCAAGATGCTCCCCGATAAAACATTGGCTTGCAAGACTGACACCCAGAAAACACTAGGCTTCAAGCAGGCTAAAGATCGTGTTACTGTATTGTTATGCTGTAATAAGGCAGGAACGCATAAGCTTGCTCCCCTAGTGATAGGGAAGTTTGGGAAACCAAGATGCTTCCACCACATTAATATGAGTAGCCTTCCAGCTCTCTACAGGCATTCTAAAAATGCTTGGATGACGTCAACAATTTTTGAGGAGTGGTTTCATGAGGATTTTGTACCTTCTGTCAGGAAACACCTGCGCCGTAAAAAGTTAGAGGCGAAGGCCATTCTTCTCATGGATCACTGCCCTGCTCATCCGGGTGTTGAGTCGTTGACGTCACTGGACCGTAAGATTAAGGCCGTGTTTTTGCCCAAAAACACCACTTCAAAATTGCAGCCTTTGGATCAGGGATAATTGCCACTTTTAAGCGCAACTACGGCGTAATCTCACAGGCATTATGATTGAAAGCAAAATGTCTGTGTCTGATTACCTGCGCAAGTTGAACTTAAAGGAAGCAATTCATCTCTGTGGGGATGCATGGAGAGAGGTTTCAACGAAGACAATTACTGGCTATTGGAGAAGGGACTAGGAGCGGCGTTCGAGCAGGAGGATAACTCGGGAAGTGAGGAGTTCGAGGGATTTGACCAGGAGGATTTGGCTATAGCAGAACGGCGAGCAACGGAGATTGGGACCTTCACAGAAGAAGAATTGAAGTCAGCTAGACAGTTATTTGATTCTGAGATGGATGATATATGCATCCAGAATTGGATAACTGCCGACAACGAGGTCCCCACCCACCACTTGTTGACAGACGAGGAAATCATCGATAGCGTCAGGGGAGAGACAACGACCGAAGAAATTGACGAGGAAGAAGAAAACATTGTGTATGAGCCACCTCTGGTAATTTCTGATGTGTTATGTTCTCTAGATACGGTGATGCGCTGGATTGAAACATCAAAGCGTAGCACTGTATCTAAAGTTCAGGCCGTCAGGAATCTCATACATGATGCCAGGATGGATGCGAGGGAAAGTACAGTTCAGCGGAAGATGACTGATTTTTTCACAAGAGACAGCTGGAAAGACGATTAATTTAGTCCCATCAACTAGGTATCAATTTTCATGACTACACATAACTCACGTAAACACCGTTTTTTTACTGGAAATTTATAAACAATAAGAACATTTGTGGTTTATATTTTTAATTCGTAAATTTCATGTTTATATCAAACATAATCAGTAATGCTTTACAAAAATAATAAATTATAATATATCAAAAAAAGTTTAGACTGATATCCATTGATAGGTAAGTAAACAATCATTTCCGCTAATAAGCGTTATATGTTTCGACGGTGGGTGGGGTAATGCAATATTTTTGTTATATTAACAAAATGAGCGTTATAAAAAGTTACTTGATACAACGCTGTCTTGAGATCATGGACCCCAACATGAGCGCTATAACGAGGCTCCAGTGTATTATAAGTAACATATCTCTTTAGTTCTTTCTCATGTATTAAAGCAGTCAGTATTTTGCTTTATTTGTGAAGGAAAAAAAGTATATCTTGGACTAATAGATACAATTTATTTTTTGAATATGAAAATATTTCATGTATGATAATTTTCAAGATGGCTGATATATCTATCCAGTGAAATTGTAGGTTTATTTTCATATTAATAGAATAGGTTTTTGAGCTATTTAAGCTCCTAGATGAAAAAGTTCACAGTAATTTGTAAGTCTTCTATTATTGTTGCTTTAAAATAAGTTTAAAAGCTTAATCAAATTTTATTTTCAGGAAGCTCTTTTGCATGCAATACAGATGGTGTGCAAGTCATGTTGGTAAATGTGAATGTTTTATTTCAGTAATTTCAACTATATATTCAATTCAGTATAATAGAGACAAAAGAAATTATGATTTATGTTTATTATTTATACTTTATTATTACAATTTGCTTTAAAGCAGCACGCCTCCAGATTCATGCTAATTTTCATGAAAATGTATTTGAATGTGTAATATTGTGAAGTAACCAAAAGGAAGCAATTTACACATTATCAGTGGCATTTACAAACCATGTAAATTACCAAAAAGTGGTCAAAATATGCCTAAATAGCCTTAATTAACTGTGTTAGTGACGCATTGTAGAAATATAGCTGTAAATACTGAAAAATCAGTCATTATTCGCATTTGATATGTAAAATATTACTTGAATCTTGAAACCTTTTACTTTTCCGTACATCTTAGTACATTTTTCTCAAGTTTGAATGTATTGAAATATTTTGACTCGTCTGGAGGCATGTAGCTTTAATGAAAGTAAACAGTTTATTTTAGCTTTTTGAGTGCTATCTGAGATAATTATAAACTATAACACTAGTACAATTTTTAACAATCTATAAAACTACGATGGAACGCATCTCTTTGCAAACTCACTAGCATTTTTCATTGTTTGATTAATATTGATTTCTCTAAGCTTACAATTTTAAGTTATAGATTCAAAGCAGATTTCTTGATCAAATACAGGATAGATTACACTAAATATGTAGAAAATCATGATTTACTTGATGAAAGTCTCGTTATATTTACAGTGCTAGTATAAAGGCAGAACAAGAGGACTTTGTTTCTCAGGTATAAACAAACTTCTTCCCTTGTAACAGATTTGTAAAGCTTAAATAGAATGAAATGGGGGATGTATGCATTTTGTAATAGTTTTCTTATGTTCACTTAAAATCTAACTTTATGATTGTAAAACTTATGTGTGTCTTTTTTATGCCCCAACTTAAAAAAGGTTACTTCTGTATCTTTTTGATACATGTTGATGAACTCTATTGATTTGAAGGTCATTAGGTCAAAGTGAAAGTGACAACTTGATGTTAAATCTTTATTAAGCAATAATCAGAGTTTGAGTTTTCTCAGTCATATGTTTGTATGACTTATATAATAAACAGAAGTATGTATATATACCATTCTGAAAGACAAATGAAGTGACGGCATAAATGTTCTATGAACACATTTGTAGTTAATTCAAGTAAGGAGTAAAGTTGTGTTTAATTATGAATACTGTTGCTGACACCAATATTATTGGGTTTTTTTAGCTCACCTGTCACAAAGTGACAAGGTGAGCTTTTGTGATCGCTTTTCATCCGGCGTCCGTCCGTCCGGCGTCCGTCCGTAAACTTTTACTTTGAATGACATCTCCTCATAAACCACTAGGCCAATTTCATCCAAACTTCACAGGAATGTTCCTCTGGTGGTCACCTTTAAAAATTGATCAAAGACTTTAATTCCATGCAGAACTCTGGTTGCCATGGCAACTGAAAGAAAAAACTTTAAATATCTTCTTTTAAAGAACCAAAGGAGCTAGAGCTTAGATATTTGGCATGAAACATCTTCTAGTGAGTGTCTACAAAGTTTGTTCAAATAAAAGCCCTGGGGTCAAAATTGGCCCCGCCCAAGGGGGTCATTGATTTTCCCTATATGCATATAGTAAAAACTTAAAAAATCTTCTTTTAAAGAACCAAAAGAACTAGAGCTTAGATATTTGGCATGAAACATCTTCTAATGAGTGTCTACCAAGTTTGTTGAAATAAAAGCCCTGGGGTCAAAATTGGCCCCGCCCCAGGGGGTCATTGATTTTCCTTATATGCATATAGTAAAAACTTAAAAAAATCTTCTTTTAAAGAACTCAAAGAACTAGAGCTAAGATATTTAGCATGAAAAATGTTCTAATGGGTGTCTACCAAGTTTGTTCAAATAAAAGCCCTGGGGTCAAAATTGGCCCTGCCCCGTGGGTCATTGATTTTCCTTATATATGTATATAGCAAAAACTTAAAAAATCTTCTTTGAAAAAACCTAAATAGCTAGAGTTTAGATATTAAGCATGAAACATCTTCTAGTGAGTGTCTACAAAGTTAGTTCAAATAAAAGCCCCGGGGTCAAAACTGGCCCGCCCCAGGGGTGTCATTGTTTTTAACTATGTGTATACTATAGTAAAAACTTAAAAAAATCTTCTTTGAAAAAACCTAAATAGCTAGAGTTTAGATATTAAGCATGAAACATCTTCTAGTGAGTGTCTACAAAGTTTGTTCAGATAAAAGCCCTGGGGTTTAAACTGGCTCCGCTCCAGGGGCCTATATACAGGTGAGCGACCTCAGGGCCATCATGGCCCTCTTGTTTGTTGTTTTTTTTACAAGGCATGTCAAGTAATAGTTCATTTTTTATCATTCAGATAATTGATGCATTACTGCGAGAAAGTAAAAAAGAAAGCATAACCTACAAACTGGAGGCATTGTCTTGTTTTGGAGAAGTACTTGAGGTTTTATCTGTGGACAGATTTTCTGATGTATACAGTATCATGTCCCCAGTGTTAGAAAAGGTACTTTAAAATAATATTTATAATCAAGTTAAATAAACATATATGTATATAGATGTATGGTTTAGCCAAATTGATGATGTATAATATCATTGTGTGGAAAAACTTTTCTTCTTTGTGTATTTGATAAATCTAGTTTTCAGTTTGTGACTTTGTTTCACTTAGATTATAACTTTATAGATGAATTACATAAAAGGGGGAGTATTTTAACTATTTGTAAGTAAATAAAACAAAAATAATACAAATGTTAAAATTTGTTCATCATGTGGTTATGTTTTTTTATCTTTTCGAACTGTTTTTATGCTCCCCGAAAAATTTCGGGGGAGCATATGGTCGGCGCCTTGTCCGTCTGTCCGTCCGTCCGAGCCAACATTTGATTATTATGAGCTTCATTCCGTAGTTAAATAAAGAACATAAACTCATAAAATTTAAAATTAAGAGCTATTTTTTGTTTTTATGAGCTTATTTTGCTTATGGACGTTGGTCCAGGTGGTGTTTATGAGCTCATTTGCCTCATAAACATCAAATTTTGGTACGTCCGTCTGTCCGTCCGTTGTCTTGTCCGGAGCATAACTTGAAAACCCTTGGAGATAATTTGTTGAAACTTCATACAGTGGTAGAGGGCATCGAGGGGGAGTGCAGTGTCAAAGAACCATAACTCTATTTTGCCCGGTTTTTGAATTATCTCCCCTTATAGAAAAATCTTGTCCGGGGCATAACTCTAAAACTATAAGAGATATCAACATGAAACTTTGTAGGTGAATAGATCTCAATGGGTAGATGTGCAGTGCATAAGAACAATAACTCTTTTCATCTTAATTTTGGAGTTATTGCCCTTTGTTAATTTTAATACTTTGAACTTTGTCCGGAACATAACTTGAAAACCCTTGGAGATAATTTGTTGAAACTTCATACAGTGGTAGAGGGCATCGAGGGGGAGTGCAGTGTCAAAGAACCATAACTCTATTTTGCCAGGTTTTTGAATTATCTCCCCTTATAGAAAAATCTTGTCCGGGGCATAACTCTAAAACTATAAGAGATATCAACATGAAACTTTGTAGGTGAATAGATCTCAATGGGTAGATGTGCAGTGCATAAGAACAATAACTCTTTTCATCTTAATTTTGGAGTTATTGCCCTTTGTTAATTTTAATACTTTGAACTTTGTCCGGAACATAACTTGAAAACCCTTGGAGATAATTTGTTGAAACTTCATACAGTGGTAGAGGGCATCGAGGGGGAGTGCAGTGTCAAAGAACCATAACTCTATTTTGCCCGGTTTTTGAATTATCTCCCCTTATAGAAAAATCTTGTCCGGGGCATAGAGTTTGCCCGGTTTTTAGCTCGACTATTCGTAGAATAATCGAGCTAATGCAGTCACCCATTTGTCGGCGTCGGCGTCGGCGTCCCTGTGGTTAAGTTTTTGTATGTAAGCTGGTATCTCCATAACTACTGAAGGGAATGGATTGAAACTTCACACACTTGTTCTCTTTGATTATCTAAGATGATTGGCACAAGTCCCATAACTCTGATTTGCTTTTTTACATAATTATGCCCCTTTTTCAACTTAGAAATTCTTGGTTAAGTTTTTGTATGTAAGCTGGTGTCTCCATAACTACTGAAGGGAATGGATTGAAACTTCACACACTTGTTCTCTGTGATTATCTAAGATGATTGGCACAAGTCCCATAACTCTGATTTGCTTTTTTACATAATTATGCCGCTTTTTCGACTTAGAAATTCTTGGTTAAGTTTTTGTATGTAAGCTGGTATCTCCATAACTACTGAAGGGAATGGATTGAAACTTCACACACTTGTTCTCTATGATTATCTTAGATGATTGGCACAAGTCCCATAACTCTTATTTGCTTTTTTACATAATTATGCCCCTTGTTTGACTTCGAAATTCTTGGTTAAGTTTTTGCGTGTAAGCTGGTATCTCCATAACTACTGAAGGGAATGGATTGCTTTTTTACATAATAATAGCCCTTTTTTGACTTAGAAATTCTTGGTTAAGTTTTTGTATGTAAGCTGGTATCTCCATAACTACTGAAGGGAATGGATTGAAACTTCACACACTTGGTCTCTGTGATTATCTAAGATGATTGGCACAAGTCCCATAACTCTGATTTGCTTTTTTGCATAATTATGCCCCTTTTTTATCTTAGAAATTCTTGGTTAAGTTTTTGCGTGTAAGCTGGTATCTCCATAACTACTGAAGGGAATGGATTGAAACTTCACACACTTGGTCTCTGTGATTATTTAAGATGATTGGCACAAGTCCCATAACTCTGATTTACTTTTTCGCATAATTATTCCCCTTTTTCGATTCATAAATTTGTGGTTAAGTTTTTGTGTGTAAGCTGGTATCTCCATAACTACTGAAGGGAATGGATTGAAACTTCACACACTTGTTCTCTGTGATTGTATTGAAACTTGAAGGGTTTGTACCTTTTCGTACAATTTTATGTATTCATATAGGTAAGCATATTTATACTCAATGAAACACCCTTGTGACAAATTTTAGAATAGTCGAGCGTTACTGTCCTCCGACAGTTCTTGTTGAATTATCTCCCCTTATAGAAAAATCTTGTCCGGGGCATAACTCTAAAACTATAAGAGATATCAACATGAAACATTGTAGGTAGATAGATCTCATTGAGTAGAGGTAGAGTGCAAAAGAACCATAACTCTGTTAAGCCTTATTTTTGAATAATCTCCCCTTTTAGAAAAATCTTGTCCAGGACATAACTGTCAAACTATAAGAGATATCAACATGAAACTTTGTAGGTAGATAGATCTCAATGGGTAGATGTGCAGTGCACAAGAATCATAACTCTACCTTGCCTTATTCTGGAGTTATTGCCCTTTGTTTATTTTTACTTTTTGAATTGTCCAGGACATAACTCGGAAATCATAAGAGATGTCATCAAGAAACTTTGTAGGTTGATAGATCACATTGATTAGAAGTGCAGTGCAAAGAACTGTTACTCTGCCTTGCTTAATTTTGGAATTATTGCCCTTTGAACTTTTTCCACGGACATAACTCTGAAACTACAAGAGGTGTACTTTCCTGTGTCCAAAACCTATTCGGGGAGCATCACCCTGCTCAAACCGGGCTCTTGTTTAAATATGGCATTTGATGACGAGGTTGGTTGTTTATTAATACAGATAACTTTTCACTATGGTTGATCCAAATGTAGTGTGAAATGCTGGGTTATATTGATTTGTGATATTTCTCTTATATGTACAGCAAATGATTGACTGAATATTCAAATTAAATTCAAAATTACAGTTAAAGTGACATTGTGCTATTTTTCCCATTGTTTAGTTGAGCTGAATTGACTATGTATTTCAAAAGATTGACTCTTATAATTGTGATTGACCAACAGTTGATATTGGAAAATGTTTAGGATAAAATATTAATCTGCCTAAAATATATAAAGACTGCCATGAATTTAACGTTACAGCTAAATTTGATGGATTTTTACAGAAATTTTATCGGGCCACATGAGTTTTTTATCATTTATGCAAAGAAAATTATAAAATTGAAAGGAATCGTGGTAAAATGTAAACTTTTTTGACTTTCACCTGTATACTCACTATATACCTTTGGATGGGTATAATGTCACTTTAATAGTATGATGAGGTTATAAACATTTTATCTATAATTAGTTTAAACAAATTTATTAAAACTCATTTGCAGACCATTTAAACACTAGGCTGATATATTTTACTATAAGTTTATTTTTAATCATCAGGAAGAAAGCATGGAAGTAGATGGAGAAAAAGAAGAATTAAGTTCTGAAGTCAAACAAAAACAGCTGGTCTGTTATTTTACAGTGTTAGGTCAGGCCTGGCCTGAAATACAGAGTACGCAAGGTATGAGCTCATTCCCTAAGTTACATCATTTCCTTTGAAATACATTGATAAGTATTTAAATCTTTCATTTATAAAAGGCACTTTCCGATCTTTACATTTTCAGAAATATTTTTTATATAAAACGGGTAATAGATTGAATAGGCTTCATTGCATCAAAACAGAATAATTTTTTGTGTGTATAAAATTCTTAACATTTGAGTTTTGTGTGCTACATATGAGTTGAAACTTGGATGTTTATTCCTCCAAGTCATATTTGTTATGCATCAAGAAATTGTACTTTAAAGACTGATAAAACAAATAAATGGTGGGGGGGGTTCATGTCCAATGGACATTTCTAGTTATTTCTAGGTTTATCAATGATTCATGGAATTATGCTGTTTAGTTTACTTCAAACCGCCTCAGTGGTCGAGGGGTTAGAGTCGATGACTTCTAATCCAGTTACCTCTCTGACGGCGTTCGATCCCCGGGAGATGCGTTGGTAGTTTAGTGCGGAGGAAGGTAGTCTACTAAGTCTAGTACTGGTGTAACTCTCCAGGAACGATGGTTAGGAAACTACCTGCCTATATGACTGAAATACTGTTGGGAAAAGGCGTAAAATGAAACAAACAAACAAACAAAAATATGCATGGCATTGATTTAAAAAAAACAAACAAACAGCCTATTCCTTATTTTGAATGTAGTTTTAATCCTTTTTATTGCATTAGATGTATCACATGGTGACAAACAGTCATGTTGACTTTAGTTAATGATTATAATACTGATATTTTATAGATGAATACATGGAGAGATATGGTTGTATGATGTGTAAATCACTTCAGAGTAACACCTGGAGAATACAGGAGGCTATACTCAAATCCATGCATAAATATCTCAATAGGTTTGTACAGAGAAATATTCATCACTTTACCTTTAAGATATTTACTTAAGTTTAATGTTCTTTGAGTTTTTGAAAATTCTGCTAACATCCAAATTGTGACGTCATAGGAGCAACTGTGGTTGTGACTAAAGCATAAATATAGGCATAGAATCCACTATCTATATAATGATATTGAGATTAGTATGTGATCAGGTGAGCTATCAAGTTTAATGTTTGGGGTTTTCTTTTGTGTGTTGCAACCCACAACAACTTGTGAGTCAAGAACAATTATTTGAGGACATAACATATATAATGGCTGAAATTGACCAAAGATTCAGTGTTCTGTTTAAGAGAGAGGTGGATTACTAATTACTTTTTAGCCTGACTTTTCAGAGAATTCTTATCCTAGCTTCTGCATCACTCTTTGGTTAAGTTTTTGTATGCAAGTTGGTATGCCCAAAACAACTAAAGGGAAAGGGTTGAAACTGTACAAACTTCTCTGTGATTATCTTAACATGATGGGCACAGGTCCCTTAACTCTTTGAATTGCCTTTTTACAGAGTTATGTCTCTATTCTTACTGTCAAGTACTGAGAATAGTCAAACAGGCTGTCATATTGAACAGGCCTTGTTGTTATTCCAGTAATTGTTTACTTATATATGTACAAGTTATTCATAATCTTTTGTAGGATTCAAATCTACATTTGATAACATTTCAAATATCTTACCCACTTAGTTCAACTGACAAATTGATCCCTGTTTTACACAAGTGTTTGTCAGCCATGTTTTATAAATAATCTATGCTGTATTTACAATGATAGATAAAGATTGTAATAAACAACATGCAATGTGATGTCTTGATTTACAGATTATGTTGCCTGAAAGATGTATCAGTACTAGAGAAGAATCAGGATGCCGTGAAATTACTGCTAGAAAATATTATAACATCTATATCGCCATGTCTTGGTAAGGGAGATAATTGTGTCATTTTAAAGGGAGATAATTGGTACCTACATTTTGTTCTTGCTTTTAGGTTTCATTGTGAAATGACAAATCCTTATTAGAATTAATAAGCTATTTAATCTCGTCAGATGTATATATAATTATATATGTATAATATTGAATGAGTATAGATTGAATATTAAATTTATTGAACAAGTTGAATAAAATCATGATTCTAGCCTCTGGCGAGCATAATATTGTTTTATTCAACAAGTTCAATAAATTTAGTATTGAATCTATAAGAATATTATATTCTTTATCACATATCTGAAATTAGAATGGTTTATGGTTTAAAAGAATCATTTTCCATTTATAGTGTAACACTAACATTAGCACGCCTAAATGATATGTTTGTATATGCAAATTACATGACATCAAAGTGTTATTACACTATGTGATAAACATGTATATATTTTTTTATATGCTATACACCATGTAAACGAGTGGTCTTTATAAAAGCGGACTCTTTAATTCTGCATAGCATTTTTGAGGTACAAAATAAGTAACAAAATCACATAATTATTATCATGAATACAAAAAAAACACATAATGAAAAATTATTTAATGACTTTAAAGCTTTAAGACTAGTGATAAGAAAAACAAAGTTAACAATAGTAGTATAATAATAATTTTTGAAAGATTTCTTTAAGATATCAGAGTCAATAAAAAAATTAGCTTTGGCATTAGGTTGGAACTTATGTTACGACCACTGCATTTCTACTGGGGTAGTGTCATTTAAGTTCGTAAATACTTATCAGTTAAAATTGTAATCCAAAGTCTACATAAACTTCCTTCCTGGTGACTGTATATAATTAGTTCTTGTTCTTTTTTTTAAAGGTAACTTGAAGTACACTGTGATAAGAACAGAGGCACTAGTCATTGTTGAGGACATTGTGCCAACATTACAAGGTGAGAGTTTTCACTTATAAACAATGAGACACTCAATGTTGTAGAATTCAAGAAATGTGATGCCCCTTTAAGCAAAGGGTTTCCTTTATAGGCTTAGGCATCTGAATTGCAGTCACTGTTTAACCCTGCATGGTCATAAGAGGTGACTAAATGGGTTTGAATTACTGGAGTCTATGCCTCTAGCTCCAGCAGTTGAGGTGCTTTTGACCCGTGGTGTTGCTTTAAGTTCATAACACCCAAAGTTAGCCAAATGACCGTATAGCAAAAACAAACAAACAAGAAATGTGATAAAATTATGAAGATTTAGATTAGGTTCTGTAGTTAACTGCAATATACTGTATTCCTAGAAAATAGTTTGTGCTTTTTAAGGGTGCGCTTTTCGCGGTGGATACATTTTCACGAATGTTTGTACCTGCAAAAAGTTACATCTAAAAATTGGCAAACATTTGTAGCTTCAACCACTTAGATTATCATTATGTCATTATGATAAACTATGATGTAGTATGGATAACTTTTACCTATGCTTAAATGATACACATTTCAAGGTACAATTTGCCTTAGCAAAACGGTCTTGCTGTTTGACAGTATCCATTATTTAAAAATAAAGCAAATCATATACTGTAAAATCATTATTATCCCTGGGGCACAAATTTTCGTGGGAAGGTTAAACCACGAATTTAAGATCCAACAAAATTTTATCTCAACAAATACTTCTTGCCATGTCTCTATTCTATATATTACAAACATGATTTTTGTGTAATGAATGCCCAGAGGCAAGGATTAAATTTATTGACAAGCGCTGTGTGATACATAAAAATATGTACATGCAGCAAGTAAAATGCGCGGCGATTAAGTGTAAGATAAGGTTATTTATTTTATTTTTTACAAGAAATTGAAAATCCACAATTTAAGAACCCACGAAAATGCCTGTTTTGTTAAAACCAAAAAATTTCATGCCCATGAATATAAGTGAATTTGGAGTAACACATGTTATCGGTATTAACAGTTTGCATACTTTGAATGAAGGTAATTTTATTCGCTAAAAAGGAAGCTGATATTGTTTGTTACAAGTACATTAGCAAGTAATACCTAAATGGGAAAAGCATTTCCTGTTTATTTTGAACGGTAAAGAATTATTTAATTCAAACAATGAATTTGTTTTCAGATAGAAAGGTCTATCATAAATCACAATATTATTTTACTCAATGTTATGATTTTAAATGCAAATAATAATATTTGCAAAGAAATAAGTCATCTAAATGCATTTTCATTTCTCTGTTTTCTGGTATTAGATAATTATGTCATAATGGTATCTTATATCTTACATATAGATTATTTATAGGTAGAAATTTAAGATTTTGTCAAAATCGTACATCTGCCTTAGTCTTGTCTTGTGGGTAATGGAGAGAACACATACAGAAACCTTAATTGTGACATTAGTAACATATATGCTTTTTACCCCAGGGACTTAATATTTGGAAATTCCCAGTCACTATGATTGCGCGAAAGTTTGTTGCGGCAAAAAATTCCATCCTTATGAAAAAAGCGTAATATTGTTTACACAAAATTTTCTAGGAACACTGTTAAGACAAATACCAACTTTCTTTACAAAATATGACTTGAGCCGGATGTTTTTATGACATGCTAATCATGAAATGTTGACAATAAGTATTAACATAGTAATGTATTTATAAACACTATAGTCAACAGGATAGGTATACTAATATGTATCTTTTGAAGTCTTGTCAACAAATTTGTAGGAAACTGTTTTGCTAGGTATTAGAAGGTTTGAGGTTCTACCATGCCTATTTGTCACTGAATTTGAAATAATGACCAATTAGGTCCAGCTCAGCTCTTCCCCAAACGGCCAAACCAGAGATCTGAAATGTAAGTCCACAATATTCACACTTAAACAAGTGTGAGAACAATTTAAGTTGCCACCTACCTGTTTAGTGAGAGATTGTGTCAATTAAAATAACACTTGAACAACTCACTTGTGAAGTGAAGGTTGATTGTATGTGCATATTTATATTTCAGGATTTGGGAAGTTACCTGTATTATCCCAGGAGATATTGGAGATTCTAAAATCAGATATGACATCACTGACCTCTGACACTAGTCCAGAGTTACAGGACAAAGCTGCAACAATTCTCAAAATCATTGCAGGATAAAACCATATTTTTCTTTGCTCTTAACAATGAAAAAAAATTTATGATTGTTACAAAAACTGATGGTTTAGTTAAATGTCTGGAGGGATTATCTTTAAGTAAAAAAAAACCAAAACATTGTGAAAAACCAACAATGTGTTGGTCACTCATTGTTACCAAAATGATTATTTTTATTTTTTAATCGACAGATAATGAGAAACATGTTTAAATAGGATGATACGAGACATCAAAAGGGAACTTTAAACCTTATATTATTCTTAATAAAGCAACAGTGAGTCATGTACCATTTTTACAGGATATTTAAAATATTGAAAGGTAATAAAACATTATAACTTAAAACCAGTTACATAATGTTGTTAGATTATGCTTAAGGTAATTTTGTTAAATTATTATGTTTATAGAACAATTGTTAAATTATTATTACACATCAAAGTAGAGTTTGTATTGGTCAATATTCCTCTCTGTATAATGTAATAAATTATAATGTCCTATTATTACATGTATAGTGCATCATGTTTTACAATGACAATATGGAAGTCCACCTGCATGGCTAAATAAGGAGAGCATCTGTTATGTAATGCAGGGGATGCTGGTTCAGTCCTCAATCTAGGCGAAATTTCTTTGTGACGATTGATCTGCCATTGAGTTTAATTGTTATTTGTTAGTCATAGCTGAAATAATGTGGCTTAGTATAGTAGTCAGTCACTTGCGGAAAAAATGGTAATTACTGGTTAGTTATCCAGGAAAGCTGGTAAATTGTATCCAGAAAAGCTGGTTAATTGGGTAGATCGCCAGGTTATAGCAAAACATGTGTTAACATCTGTGTGAAAATAGAAGAAACAAACCTACACAAGATCTCACAATGCAAACTCTGTCAATTTTATCAAGATATATATTTTGTATGATATAGAATGTTTCCGGAATACAAGTTTTAGATAATTTAACTTTATCTATTTCAATATTAATTATGTAGTAGGCATTCAAATATATTTTGACAATATAAACATGTACATGTAATTAGAATGATGAAGGTTGTGAAGAAAGAAAAATAAATTGTAGAGAAATGCATGAATAAAGATGTATATAAAATTGAATATGACAATCAATGTTGTCATTTTCCCCAAGATATTAATAATGAGCCGGGCCATGACAAAATCAACAAGGTGCGTTTGCGACCAGCATGAATCCAGACCAGCTGTGCATCCGCGCAGTCTGGTCAGGATCCATGCTGTTTGCTATCAGTTTCTCTACTTGTAATAGGGTTTGTAAGCAATGGATCCTGATCAGACAGGGTGGATGCATAGGCTGGTCTGGATCCATGCTGGTCGCAAACGCACTAAGTTGGTTTTGTTAAGGTGCGGCTCTTTTTATCACATCTCTCAAGAGATAAACAAATTACATGAAGGTGCTTAAACTAGCCTTAAAGGTACATTTTGCCTCAGAAACAAATAAATTTTCACTTCTTTAAAAAGGGCTTATATGAATTTTATAATGTTTAAATAATGGTTTAGAGAATGTTTGATGTTTTTTACCTGATGAAAGCAATAAATGTGAAATAATTTTTCATTAAAGTAGCAAAATTTAAACAAAACAGTACTTTGACTTCCATACAAAATAGTCATTCATAATAAGTGCAAAAACGCAACATGAAAACAATGTTCAGGTTGTTGGCCAATGAGAAACGTTTTGGATACTATAAAAGTACTCCAATATTTAAAGCTTTTGAGAAATGAAATTAAAGCATTTCTGAGGCAAAATGGGCCTATAACCATTTGACTAGGGCTATATTTTTCTTCTTTCTGACTGTCTCAGATTTAGTGCAATGATTGAATGATAAAGTTATAGCAGTTGAAAGTAATGTAGATTTTAAGTGTTTCAAATCTTCATAAGCATCCTGTTTGTATTAAGTTGCAAATTTTTGTTAACAGTTTTTTGAAACATCATATAATATTTACAGTTCTTTTGCTTTATTGAATTTTATGAAACAACTCTGCTTCACCCATAACAGTTTGTTCTTGCTCAATTTTCACTGAAACTGTTTTAGGTTTGTGTTTTCTCACTGTTGTAAAGAACTGGTGTAGTCACATTACCAGTTTTGAGGAAACTGAGAAAAACATAAACATATTAAAATTGTGGAAAAGGGAAGATCCCTCCAGAGTAATAGAAAGAAGAAAAATGTATGTAAAATTGACTTGTTTTATCTTAGTGTCTTTTTGAGTGTTATTGGAATGTTTATTATACTTGCTCCCTTCTAGAATGAAGATTCTGTTATTAAAGCCGTCACAGGGAGAGTGATGGACTGTGAATCGGTCAACTCGGGTTCGATTCCCGGACAGTGCAGGTCCCTTTCGTTGAGATTGATTGTGAAATCCTTTTTCGGGTCATTCACACTGTACACCTGAACTGTGCTCATTTACAGAAGTTATCAGGTGCTAGCGAAAGGGAATGCAACTGGTTCTGTTAAACTGATTGACAGCCTGCCCAGGAACAATGCAGTGGCTGGACTGTGCTCTGGTAAATTTTAATGTGACTTACTGCCGTGATCCATAGTAAAAACTATTAACTTCAACACCATATTGTTAATTATTGTGATATTTGCAAGAAGTCATTATTTGCATAAATTGAAATAATTCATGTGTACATAGGATATATATTAAGTACATGTGCATGCTTACACTGAACTACATTAACACTAATTCAGGATTTTTTATTTTGAAAATAATTTCAGAATGAATTATTTAAATATGGGATATTTTACTTTATTATAGTACTTTGTTTAATTCAAATTTATTCAAATAAATTTTCACGTATTAAATGTAATTTCGAATCAGTGATACTGGAGAAATGTCAACAGTTGTATTATTTATTCAGAAGAGATTGTTTTTGAATACAGCTTGTTTACAAGTGATGACTCACTTTTGTCAGTTTGAAATCATTAAATGCTGACCTATGCTGATTTTTTGTTTGTGTTGATTTCCTCTTTTTAGTTCCCCGTCTCAAAGTGACAAGATGAGCTTTTGTGATCGCTTTTTGTCCGGTGTCCATTAACTTTTACTTTGAACGACATCTCCTAATACCCGCTAAGCTAATTTCATCCAAACTTCACAGGAATGTTCTTTTGGTGGCCACCTTTGAAAACTGATCCATGCAGAACTCTGGTTGCCATTGCAACCGAAAGAAAAAACTTAAAAAATCTTCTTTTGAAAAACCTAAACAGCTGGAACTTAGATATTTGGCATGAAACATCTTCTAGTGAGTGTCTTTCAAGTTTGGCCCCGCCGAAGGGGATTATATTGATTTTCCTTTAATGTACATAATGAAAACTGAAAAAAAAATCTTTTTCAAAAATCCAAAAGAGCTAGAGCTTAGATATTTAGCATTAAACATCTTCTAGTGGGTGTTTACCAAGTTTGTTCAAATAAAAGCCCTGGGGTAAAAATTGGCCATGCCCCAGTGGGTCATTGATTTTCCTATTACAGTTGAGTTCACACTAAACTTCACACCCTTGTGCACTTTTAGTGCACTAGAGATGAACTAGAAGTGCACACCGTGTGCGCTTCTAGTGCACTAGACCATATGACCAGGCTGGCCAGGGAAGGTGACACCTAAATGGTTTATTGGATAATTGCATATCAAGTGACAGGGGGCATACATTGTATGTACTTATCTTCGCAATAGCAATCAGTTAAGTTTTTACACATGCACCATTTCAGATAAAAATATGAAATTTGTGATATCAGTTTAAGATTAAGATTTTATATCTGCTTTTGTTTATAGTTTACAATACTTGTTCCTTGTCATGGAAAGTTTTTATATTCAGAGAGCGATTTCAGGGCCATCATGGCCCTTCTGCATAAAATTCTTACCTTTAAGTCATAGAATACATTATAGGAATCTCACAGATCATGTATGTATTTATTATGTCATGTACATACAGAAAAGAAAGTTTTACATTTTGTTATAAACGTTACACTTGATGCTTTCAATTAACTGACACTAGACAGGTGATCGTTCAGCGGGATTTGAGGATACTGATTTATCACACACCCGTGCCGATTTTGCGACTGTAAATATGGTATTGCACGGCCGTGCATATATTTTGACGTGACGTCATTAGCGTTATACAAACAGTGTAAAGACGCGCTAAATGTTAGTGTTATACTATAGCTATAGGCGCTACAATGAAAAATGACTCTTATTTCACTTTAAACGTCTTTATTTTGGGTATGTAATAAACAGAATATTAAATCCGTGTAAGTTCATTACTGAAATTATTGCACTCGTTGAATTAAGTAATATGCTCGCCAGAGACTCACATAATATAATTTTATTCAACTCGTGGAATAAATTCAGTATTGAACTTACACTCATTCAATTTCCTCTATGCATGTAACAAAATAAGAGGACAATTAAACTGGTCTTCTATGCTGGTGCTGTACTATGATGATTTTCTTTGCGGTCAAGGATAACCTACGAAAGTGCAAGCACTTATTTCCAGTAGGGTCCTTACCTAAGCAGACTCTAGAGACAGCTATGAAATACAAGGGAATCCGGGAACCAGTCCCAAGCTCTTATTGAATAGATTCCTTGGTTCTTTTACATGCCCAGTGTATAGCACTGATACATGCGAGGATTACCTGGATTTCTTACCAGTACACCTCTAGTTAGGTGGGAAACACTGAAAGTGTTTCTGAAAAATCCCAAGGGTTTTACCCAGGATCGGACCCGGAACCTCAGGAGTGACAGTCAGTGGTCTAACCAACTGAGCTATCGTATCACCCGGTTCTCGACGTTGACTTTAAAAGAAACAATAATCTTTCAATTTACTATTGATGAGTTATCATGCCGATGCAAGTGAACACCAGATATAACTCGTAATAAAACTTTAGAAACCTGTGTTACTTTCTCTTGACTAATTTTTAAGGTGAACTTACAGTGTTCATAGTCTAATGAATCTATGAAATTTGACCAATTAAATCAAAGTTAGCAAATAAAACACATGTATATACTGTAATTTGGATATGTTAGATGTGTAGTACAAATGTGCAACTTGCATGAACTTAAATCATTCAGCGAAGTCATTTATCTTGCCGATATCGAATTTGAAGCATTCATACATTGTAAGATATTTGACATATTTGGTAGGTAGCCGCCACTTGCTGACATTTACACGGAATTTAAGGTCAACGGGGATCCTTAAAGCCTGAAAGCCTATATACAAGCAGTTCTTTTTAAAAAATATTGTATGTTATTACTTGAAACTGATGCTAGCGTAACTAGTAAGAAGTTATTTCATCAGTAATTGTTTTGATTTACAGATAAATATACTAATATATGGTTAGTTGTGTTGTTGTTTTTTGTTGTTGTTGTTGTTGTTTTTTATTGGTTTTTCTTCTTTGCGTTTTCTAACGCATAGCATACAGTAAGTTAGACAATCTTTACTCTGTACTCTTTAAAATAAGTGTGCGACTGTTTTCTTCAGCGGCTGAACATTGCCAGAAGAATTCCTTGAGGTTTTCCAGTTTACTGTAATAGTTAATGCGAAAAACCACATGACATAATACCAACATAACTTCCTCTTTTTTATATCCTGTTTTATGATTGCTGTGTAACTTAAAATGTCAAACTAATTCAACAACTCGAGTCCATTTAAAACCCACGCGATGATTCAAGTGTTACCATACTTTGTGTACTATTAAATGTCAAATTTCTTGTTGTCATTAGAAATTGTTTGATTCAGCATTATTCGAGGCATGCATATGCTGAAACAATAATTTATTTGTAATGATTAAGATATGTTATATTATCATGCTTATGTAATGATTAAGATATGTTATATTATCATGATTCCGATACATGTATATGATTTATATATTTACGGAAGCTTATAAGTGCCATTTTCAATTTTTGTCTTCGTTACTTGGCACAGAGTCGGGTAATAATTGTGTAAGCTTTACATTTGCATGATCTTAAATTGTAGTTATTATTGAGTTGTCAAAGCGATGAAAGCAACAAGAAAAACAGTCATATTTTGTCCGTATAGTATAAGTATATTGTGTTTTCAAAGGGTTTTAAAAACAACTGGGCCCCCAAAAGATTATGGTTTTTGTTAATGATCATATACCAAGTCCCGAGGCCCAGATTAGCCCCCCCAAAAAGTGTAATATAGGTAAAGATATTAGAAGGTACCTTGAAAAATGGGAAACTTTGACCCATAAAAATTCGATCAAGTGATACTCCAAAAGGAAATTAAAAATTTAAAATTAAATAAATGCCCTTTGTTTGGGATAGTTTTATTTCATCCCAAATTGGCGAGACAAAAAATGAATATGGGCACTTTAACAAGCCACCGTCGGAAAGCCAGGTATGATCACAAATGCAAATCAACAAGGATGTTGAACCTCAGTTCAACCAACCCTACCGCGATATTCAGGGATAGGTGAGTGAGTGGCCTGAGAACAAAGACCAAAGCAGAGGAATGAGCGTCATCATAGAGGCTTGAAGATTTCAGGAGTGTTGTTGGGATCAGTTGCTCTGATTCATTGCATGGATTCCGTTTTATTAGCTCGACTATTCGATAAGAATAAGTAGAGCTATTGCAGTCACCCGAGCGTCGGCGTCCGCGTCGGCGTAACCACTTATGTTAAAGTTTTTGTAATAGTTCAAATATTTTCAAAGTCCATCGACATATGGCTTTGAAACTTTGCACACTTGTTCACCATCATGACCCCAACCTGTAGACAGGAGGAGGTAACTCTATCAAGCATTTTGACAGAATTATGCCCCTTTTTCGACTTAGAATTTACGTTAAAGTTTTTGTAATAGTTCAAATATTTTCAAAGTCCATTGACATATGGCTTTGAAACTTTGCACACTTGTTCACCATCATGACCCCAACCTGTCGACAGGAGAGGTAACTCTATCAAGCATTTTGACAGAATTATGCCCCTTTTTCAAACTTAGAATTTACGTTAAAGTTTTTGTAATAGTTCAAATATTTTCAAAGTCCATCGACATATGGCTTTGAAACTTTGCACACTTGTTCAACATCATGACCCCAACCTGTAAACAGGAGGAGGTAACTCTATCAAGCATTTTGACAGAATTATGCCCCTTTTTCGACTTAGAATTTACGTTAAAGTTTTTGTAATAGTTCAAATATTTTCAAAGTCCATTGACATATGGCTTTGAAACTTTGCACACTTGTTCACCATCATGACCCCAACCTGTAAACAGGAGGAGGTAACTGTATCAAGCATTTTTTTTACTATCAAGCACTAAGAATAGTCGAGCGTTGCTGTCCTACCGACAGCTCTTGTTATCTCATCCAACACAAATTCAAACAAAAGCTGCATGAATTTTGAAAGCTGTTTTATATACAAATAGGGGTAATACAAGTATGTTTTCCAGGGTGATTCTAAATTCTGCAAGATTCTGATTTTCTTCTCGCTCTGAAGTAAACGGTCTTAGTGGTTTTAGTCTTTTTCATATGGTTAAAAAGAAACAAAAAGACGTGATGACAACTTTATTGACACTTGGTGTTAAATAGCTTAGCCTTATTATAACTTGGTGTTAAATAGCTTAGCCTTATTATAAGATGCTTATATAAAGCTTTATTTATGCAATTATGTAAATTGTTGAATAAGTCTTAAAGCTGCACGCCTCCAGATGAGCCAAAATATTCAAGAAAATTAATATAGAGAAAAATGTACTAAAATTTTAAGAAAGGTAAAAGTATTCGAGATCCAAGTTATATTTTACATGTTATGTGCCGTATAAGACTTATTTTGCAGTATTTTATTACAATATTTCTACTGCGTTACTAACGCAGTAAGGGCT